GGGACGCTTCTCTAAACAGATCCAACAGGTCAGTTTTCTCTTGCTCCGAAATCGAACAATCGGGTTTTTCAACAAACCAACAGCTTCGCGGACGCCATCTTCATCAGCAAACCATGCCTCGTGCACGGCACTCACACTCCAGTTATAGTGACGCAATAGTATGGATGAAGCTGTTCTTGTTACAGAAAGAACAAGAGAAATACTTACAATATCATCATCTTGACGCTGGCGTATATCGTCTTCGTTCAGGACTTTATAGGGTTGCTGATCGCAACTGGCCGAGTTGTCATCGGTGTCGTAATTGTCGGTGTCGTCACCGCAGCCGCCGATGTTGTTGCCGTTGGAGTCATCGCTGAGAGATTTGGCGTCGATCACAGGGAACATATCATCCTCCGAATCCATGGAAAAATACTAAAAAGAAAGATGACTCTGGACTCTGTGGCCGGATAGGTAATAGCCAAACCAAAGCCGGCAACAAAAATAATTGTATAGGAAGACCTTAGTATATAGAAGGAGACTTATAAGCGAAGCGATTGTAAAAAACAAAACCCTTGATTGACAAAAACTCGGTATATTAGGGATTCGATTGATAAAAGAGTTAATCCGTTATGAACTCGGATCAAGAGACTTTCATGGGTTTGTAAGATCTCTTAAAAATTAAGAGATGCCACGTGGAAGTCATCAACAGCAACATTAAAACAATTTGGGAATGGGGAATACCCAAAACTTATCGGATAGGAATTTTGATTGGGAATGGGATTTTTATTTTTAAATTCTGGATTATCAGTAGTTCAAGTTGTGAATCTATACTATATACTAAAAATAAGCAATTAGAGAGAGTCTTCTCTCCTCAATTTTTTTTTTAATTTTGAATTATTTAATTGCCATCCTTCAATTGGATTTTGACATGTGGCCTATGTAATCGCTTCAAACTTTTTGACAATATGACATATTTTAATTTACCTCCACCTATATCATCTACTTTACATTTAAATTTTTATAAATTATTTATTCAGTATATTAGTAACGAATTTTTTAATAATGTTAGAACGAGGTGGAGGTAAAGGTCGTCATGGAGGAGGGAGGTGGGAATAGGTGTGGTGATGGTGATGAAATGATATTACAAATTTCGTTGATCATACAGAACTGTTATTAGTAAGATTACTATTGTAATCAAATTTTCAGACATGGTGGATTCTCTAAACCATGACTAATGTTAGTAATCTCATATCTATATTACTTAGGTATTTAAAAAGAAGGACAAAATCTCAATATTAAAAATTTTGTCCCTTTAAACATCTCTCCCTCAAAACTAATAATTCATCTTTACTAATTCTGAGGTTATTGCTAACTATTTTTTGTATTTATGGAAGCCAAGCGATACGATAATATTTTTTATTTAAAATGGAAAAACATAATTTGTACTTTTATTAGGGGATCAAATCTCAACTGTAATTGTTAGATTGAAAATGAAATTTATTTAATATTAACATTTACAGTTAGATTAATGATAACATTAAATTAAGTCTATAATTAAATTCTTATAACATTGTTGTTTAAAGTATGGTTCAAAAGCTTTTCTGGGCTATGTACCATCATAATTCTATCAATCACTTGGGTAGAAGGCAATATCTTTTACATAGATCACCCTAGGCTATCCTCCTAAATTGATTTCACTCAATGTGTTCAACCAATATTCAATGACTTTCAAACTAAACTCTGTCACTGTAGGTTAGGTTAACATATGAATAGAAAAGGAGAGCCTGATGACTCGGAGAATCCAAAGGAGAATATAAATGTAAGTATTAAAGTCAATTAGTGGTACAGATCCGAGACAGACATGTAAAAAAAAGTATAATTTAACCTTAAAATATTTTACTCTTTTAATATAATAATCACTTTCGGTATTGTAGTCGTTTCCAGCTCCGCCCAAGATCCTTCACTGTACAAAGTTTGTTTGGGGTATTAAAAGATGAGATTTGACTAAATTAATATTTTTCGTCATTTAATATCAAGTTATAAGTCCCGATATTAAAAATATTTTAGTACTGATCGAATGCTAAAGTGTCATATAACACACTTGACTTGCATTGTCCCTCGAACTGGAACCTGGCCCCAAAGATCCAAACTGTTTTAAACCACCATGCTAACGCATGACAGAGGGGTTGATATAATAAGTGATATTAAATGAACATGATTGGTATTAACCTCCAAAATGAGAAGACTATTCTTATAAGCTAAAGGATTATGTATTAATTTAAGGGTTTTTTTTTATCCTTTTGAACTTAATACCTCATCTAAATATGATATTAATATTAGAATAATGAACCCACATCTTATACTAACTTTGATCCAAACATGATATAATGTAGATTTATTACTAATAAGGATTGGAACGGAATGAATTGTTCAATCCTATCTTGTATTATTCCCAAACCAAACATGTGTTTAAACCATGGAAAACCATGATATTTTGTGTTGTTTCTGAGTATTTTTTTCAAAAAGAAAAAAAAATATTGAAAATCTTTGCCAAGTATTAATAATTCTGAGTTGAACTAGAAACGAATTTTGATTGATACACATAAATTCCATCCTAAAACACTAATAACTAGAAGAGTAATATAATTTATACTAAATTTGTTGACTTAATTTATTAAAACTAATAATTTAGGTGTCAATAGATTTGTACTAAATTAATAAATTAGGTGTTAATGGATTATTATAAGTAGGAAAGATAACATGCTTAACTAAGATTGGTAAGTTTGTGAGGGATGGCAATCTTGACACGAGCAAGTCATGACATCAGTTATGGCTCCTCACTGTTCCAATGAACTGCAGAGACAGCTAAAAAGAGGCAAAGCCAGTTTGGAGTTGGATTTTTTGGCTGCGAGACAAGAGGTTTAAAAAATAAAATAAAAAAGTCAGACTTCAAAAAATTCTTAAAATCGTTTAGAATTTTTTTAAAAAATCGATTTTTACTTGAAAGTCCTAAACTCCTTGGTTCTTTTTTTTTGTTGGTTTTTCCTTAATATTAATAAAAGTTATTTTTGTCCAAAATATTAATGAAAAAACCACCCAAATGCCCAATAAGTCCAAATCCAAATTCAAAGGAATCAAACTTTTTTACCTATTGAATCAAAAAACACTAAAGTTTTCAGTCGGGTACAACTCAGGCCCATATTTTATAGCTATCAGAAGTATAATGACAAACCAAGATAATCCGGATCCATATAAAAGTGAAGACATATTTTGTAGTAAGGATCGTTTTTTTGTGTGTCTGGGGAAAGTACAAGTTCAAAAAAAGTCAGAAAAGGGAGGATTCAGTACTGAGCTGGATGGATCTCTGAAGAGCGATCTGATTCTCAGAGGATATATTGGAAGTGGAAAGGATTAGGATGAAGAAAGGTTAGAGATATAAAGAAGAAAGGGTCTTTCTCTCTCTCCTCTGTTTCTGCGTCTGCAATCGTATCCCAATGACCCAAAAAGATCACGAAATATCTGTGACCCGATATTATTACGATTTCTTACTCTTTCCCATTCTTCATAGTCATACACGAATGCATATGTGTGCTCTCTTTGTTCACTATATATTATAGCCCCCCCCCCCCCCAACTCTCTCTCTCTCCAAAACACAGTTCATAGTTGTACCTTTGGGTGGTGTGGTTTTGTCAGAAACTCAGAATACGTTTTGTTTTTGTGTCTGGTTTACCATAGGCAGTACTTTGGTTTCTTCTTCAAAGGATTTGTGGGTTGTTTGGTTATTGGGAGAGAAGAAAGAAAAATGGCTTCTTCTTCTTCTTCTTCATCATCTTCAAAGGGTTTGGATGAAGAAGAGAGACCTCATGTTTTAGCTGTTGATGACAGTTTAGTGGACCGCAAATTGATTGAGAGGCTTCTCACCAACTGCGCATGCAAAGGTATTTAATTTCTCCTCTCAAGTCTCATCTTTTACCTTTCATAAATACATTCTTCTCCATCTTTATTTATTTATTTTCATTTGCTGTCTTCATGTTAATGCTAGTGTTTTAATGCTAACCCCACTACTCATATACTGAAGACAGCAAATGAAAATAAATAAATAAAGATGGAGAAGAATGTATTTATGAAAGGTAAAAGATGAGACTTGAGAGGAGAAATTAAATACCTTTGCATGCGCAGTTGGTGAGAAGCCTCTCAATCAATTTGCGGTCCACTAAACTGTCATCAACAGCTAAAACATGAGGTCTCTCTTCTTCATCCAAACCCTTTGAAGATGATGAAGAAGAAGAAGAAGAAGCCATTTTTCTTTCTTCTCTCCCAATAACCAAACAACCCACAAATCCTTTGAAGAAGAAACCAAAGTACTGCCTATGGTAAACCAGACACAAAAACAAAACGTATTCTGAGTTTCTGACAAAACCACACCACCCAAAGGTACAACTATGAACTGTGTTTTGGAGAGAGAGAGAGAGTTGGGGGGGGGGGGGGGCTATAATATATAGTGAACAAAGAGAGCACACATATGCATTCGTGTATGACTATGAAGAATGGGAAAGAGTAAGAAATCGTAATAATATCGGGTCACAGATATTTCGTGATCTTTTTGGGTCATTGGGATACGATTGCAGACGCAGAAACAGAGGAGAGAGAGAAAGACCCTTTCTTCTTTATATCTCTAACCTTTCTTCATCCTAATCCTTTCCACTTCCAATATATCCTCTGAGAATCAGATCGCTCTTCAGAGATCCATCCAGCTCAGTACTGAATCCTCCCTTTTCTGACTTTTTTTGAACTTGTACTTTCCCCAGACACACAAAAAAACGATCCTTACTACAAAATATGTCTTCACTTTTATATGGATCCGGATTATCTTGGTTTGTCATTATACTTCTGATAGCTATAAAATATGGGCCTGAGTTGTACCCGACTGAAAACTTTAGTGTTTTTTGATTCAATAGGTAAAAAAGTTTGATTCCTTTGAATTTGGATTTGGACTTATTGGGCATTTGGGTGGTTTTTTCATTAATATTTTGGACAAAAATAACTTTTATTAATATTAAGGAAAAACCAAAAAAAAAAAGAACCAAGGAGTTTAGGACTTTCAAGTAAAAATCGATTTTTTAAAAAAATTCTAAACGATTTTAAGAATTTTTTGAAGTCTGACTTTTTTATTTTATTTTTTAAACCTCTTGTCTCGCAGCCAAAAAATCCAACTCCAAACTGGCTTTGCCTCTTTTTAGCTGTCTCTGCAGTTCATTGGAACAGTGAGGAGCCATAACTGATGTCATGACTTGCTCGTGTCAAGATTGCCATCCCTCACAAACTTACCAATCTTAGTTAAGCATGTTATCTTTCCTACTTATAATAATCCATTAACACCTAATTTATTAATTTAGTACAAATCTATTGACACCTAAATTATTAGTTTTAATAAATTAAGTCAACAAATTTAGTATAAATTATATTACTCTTCTAGTTATTAGTGTTTTAGGATGGAATTTATGTGTATCAATCAAAATTCGTTTCTAGTTCAACTCAGAATTATTAATACTTGGCAAAGATTTTCAATATTTTTTTTTCTTTTTGAAAAAAATACTCAGAAACAACACAAAATATCATGGTTTTCCATGGTTTAAACACATGTTTGGTTTGGGAATAATACAAGATAGGATTGAACAATTCATTCCGTTCCAATCCTTATTAGTAATAAATCTACATTATATCATGTTTGGATCAAAGTTAGTATAAGATGTGGGTTCATTATTCTAATATTAATATCATATTTAGATGAGGTATTAAGTTCAAAAGGATAAAAAAAAACCCTTAAATTAATACATAATCCTTTAGCTTATAAGAATAGTCTTCTCATTTTGGAGGTTAATACCAATCATGTTCATTTAATATCACTTATTATATCAACCCCTCTGTCATGCGTTAGCATGGTGGTTTAAAACAGTTTGGATCTTTGGGGCCAGGTTCCAGTTCGAGGGACAATGCAAGTCAAGTGTGTTATATGACACTTTAGCATTCGATCAGTACTAAAATATTTTTAATATCGGGACTTATAACTTGATATTAAATGACGAAAAATATTAATTTAGTCAAATCTCATCTTTTAATACCCCAAACAAACTTTGTACAGTGAAGGATCTTGGGCGGAGCTGGAAACGACTACAATACCGAAAGTGATTATTATATTAAAAGAGTAAAATATTTTAAGGTTAAATTATACTTTTTTTTACATGTCTGTCTCGGATCTGTACCACTAATTGACTTTAATACTTACATTTATATTCTCCTTTGGATTCTCCGAGTCATCAGGCTCTCCTTTTCTATTCATATGTTAACCTAACCTACAGTGACAGAGTTTAGTTTGAAAGTCATTGAATATTGGTTGAACACATTGAGTGAAATCAATTTAGGAGGATAGCCTAGGGTGATCTATGTAAAAGATATTGCCTTCTACCCAAGTGATTGATAGAATTATGATGGTACATAGCCCAGAAAAGCTTTTGAACCATACTTTAAACAACAATGTTATAAGAATTTAATTATAGACTTAATTTAATGTTATCATTAATCTAACTGTAAATGTTAATATTAAATAAATTTCATTTTCAATCTAACAATTACAGTTGAGATTTGATCCCCTAATAAAAGTACAAATTATGTTTTTCCATTTTAAATAAAAAATATTATCGTATCGCTTGGCTTCCATAAATACAAAAAATAGTTAGCAATAACCTCAGAATTAGTAAAGATGAATTATTAGTTTTGAGGGAGAGATGTTTAAAGGGGACAAAATTTTTAATATTGAGATTTTGTCCTTCTTTTTAAATACCTAAGTAATATAGATATGAGATTACTAACATTAGTCATGGTTTAGAGAATCCACCATGTCTGAAAATTTGATTACAATAGTAATCTTACTAATAACAGTTCTGTATGATCAACGAAATTTGTAATATCATTTCATCACCATCACCACACCTATTCCCACCTCCCTCCTCCATGACGACCTTTACCTCCACCTCGTTCTAACATTATTAAAAAATTCGTTACTAATATACTGAATAAATAATTTATAAAAATTTAAATGTAAAGTAGATGATATAGGTGGAGGTAAATTAAAATATGTCATATTGTCAAAAAGTTTGAAGCGATTACATAGGCCACATGTCAAAATCCAATTGAAGGATGGCAATTAAATAATTCAAAATTAAAAAAAAAAATTGAGGAGAGAAGACTCTCTCTAATTGCTTATTTTTAGTATATAGTATAGATTCACAACTTGAACTACTGATAATCCAGAATTTAAAAATAAAAATCCCATTCCCAATCAAAATTCCTATCCGATAAGTTTGGGTATTCCCCATTCCCAAATTGTTTTAATGTTGCTGTTGATGACTTCCACGTGGCATCTCTTAATTTTTAAGAGATCTTACAAACCCATGAAAGTCTCTTGATCCGAGTTCATAACGGATTAACTCTTTTATCAATCGAATCCCTAATATACCGAGTTTTTGTCAATCAAGGGTTTTGTTTTTTACAATCGCTTCGCTTATAAGTCTCCTTCTATATACTAAGGTCTTCCTATACAATTATTTTTGTTGCCGGCTTTGGTTTGGCTATTACCTATCCGGCCACAGAGTCCAGAGTCATCTTTCTTTTTAGTATTTTTCCATGGATTCGGAGGATGATATGTTCCCTGTGATCGACGCCAAATCTCTCAGCGATGACTCCAACGGCAACAACATCGGCGGCTGCGGTGACGACACCGACAATTACGACACCGATGACAACTCGGCCAGTTGCGATCAGCAACCCTATAAAGTCCTGAACGAAGACGATATACGCCAGCGTCAAGATGATGATATTGTAAGTATTTCTCTTGTTCTTTCTGTAACAAGAACAGCTTCATCCATACTATTGCGTCACTATAACTGGAGTGTGAGTGCCGTGCACGAGGCATGGTTTGCTGATGAAGATGGCGTCCGCGAAGCTGTTGGTTTGTTGAAAAACCCGATTGTTCGATTTCGGAGCAAGAGAAAACTGACCTGTTGGATCTGTTTAGAGAAGCGTCCCGCTGATTTG